TTGGTGAATTGGAACTTATAATATCTGGGGTTTGAAGGTTTCTGCTGTTATACTCATGAATACAACTTTACTGGACTTTAAGTTGCAAGATTTAGCGTAAAAGTATTTGCTTTAATTTCATATAGAGTGTGTTCCGTAGCTAACTGTGAAGTGCGTTTTGATTAGATAACATAAATTGTGGTAATCTTTGATTGGTTTGGTTAGGGTTTATTGTTTTGTTAACTAAAACTTATTTACTTTTGGGGTTGATTTTGTGATGATTGCAGAATGATATTGATGATGCTTGTAAAGCAGAGGATTCTGATTTTCAGCCTATACTCAAGCCTTACCAGTTAGTTGGTGTTAACTTTCTTCTTCTGTTGTATAAGAAAGGAATTGAAGGAGGTATGTATTTTACTAGTTTCGATCTGTAAAATTTTTTAGCGTGAATGTTACTTTGTAACTGACGTTTCTATTGTTTGTAGCCATTCTAGCTGATGAGATGGGTCTTGGAAAGACCATTCAGGTGCAGTTTGCTCTGTTATTACTGGATAAGTTGTCTTTGTTTCTTTTATTTTATCAAGACTAATTTTGCTCCTATTTACCTTAGGCAATAACATATTTAACCCTCCTAAATCGCTTAAACAATGACCCTGGTCCTCATTTGGTTGTATGCCCTGCCTCTGTCTTGGAAAACTGGGAGAGAGAGCTCAGAAAATGGTGTCCATCGTTTACTGTACTTCAATACCACGGGGCTGCAAGAGCAGCCTACTCAAGAGAATTGAATTCTTTGTCCAAAGCTGGGAAGCCACCGCCATTCAATGTGCTTCTTGTGTGTTACTCTCTGTTTGAACGGCATAGGTGCAACTTTGAAGTACTCTTGATACTTTATTTGCTTTTTGGCTTTTCTCGTCACTCATAGATGTTGGAATTTTACAGTGAACAACAGAAAGATGACCGAAAAGTACTAAAACGATGGCGTTGGAGCTGTGTTTTGATGGATGAAGCCCATGCTTTAAAAGATAAGAACAGTTACAGGTGGAAAAATTTGATGTCTGTGGCCAGAAACGCAAACCAGCGTCTTATGCTTACAGGAACGCCTCTACAAAATGATTTACATGTACAGTTGGTTTCTATTCATCTGTTCAAGATCTAGTTACCTAAGATTGGAGATATATCTTCATGTGGTCATACAATGCTTATTCCTTGCATGTGTTAATCTATGCAGGAATTATGGTCGCTGTTGGAGTTCATGTTGCCTGATATATTTACTACAGAGAATGTTGACTTGAAGAAGTTGTTGAATGCAGAAGATACTGAGTTGATTACTCGAATGAAATCTATTTTAGGTCCTTTCATCTTGAGGCGTTTAAAATCTGATGTCATGCAGCAACTTGTTCCGAAGATACAGCGGGTATGGATATATCTATGCTCGATTAAGTATACGATATTAATCTTCTAGCTGCAAATCTCATTAATTTCTCATCAATCCAATACAGGTTGAATATGTATTAATGGAGAAAAAGCAGGAAGATGCATATAAAGAAGCCATAGAGGAGTATCGTGCTGCTTCTCAAGCACGGCTTGTGAAGCTTTCATCAAAATCCTTGAATTCTTTAGCCAAGGCACTTCCAAAGCGTCAAATTTCAAACTATTTTACTCAATTTCGGAAGGTAATTCTCAGCTACTATGTACAAATCCCCTTTGTGCCAAATGAGTGTATTTTTCATGTGTCACTAAACTTTGGTTGTACAGATCGCAAATCATCCATTGTTAATTAGGCGGATATACAGCGATGAGGATGTCATTCGCATCGCCAGGAAATTGCACCCAATTGGTGCATTTGGATTTGAATGTTCCTTGGAGAGAGTGATAGAGGAAGTTAAGGGTTACAACGATTTCCGTATCCACCAGGTAAATGTCTCTCTTTCCAAAAGCAATTTAAAATCCATAAACAAACATGTTATGCAAATGAACAAGCTAACTTGTTTCTTTCTATAGCTTTTGTTCCAATTTGGAGTTAATGATACCAAAGGAACTCTCTCTGACAAACATGTCATGCTCTCAGCAAAATGTCGGGTACGTGATATTCTTCTTCCTCTTTGTAAAACCGAATAAGTATAACTAACATTGTGATCGATCTAACTGTCCTTTTATGTATCAGACATTAGCTGAGCTTCTCCCTTCAATGAAGAAATCCGGCCATCGTGTTCTAATATTTAGTCAATGGACATCGATGCTCGATATCTTAGAATGGACACTCGATGTAATCGGCGTTACATACCGAAGACTTGACGGCAGGTAAAAGAAAGAATAGTTAAATGTTACCTTTTTGACGATTCTGCGAAAAGGAAGAAGCTAAAGTCATTTTCCTTTTGTTTCCGACAGTACTCAAGTCACAGATAGACAAACCATAGTCGACACATTCAACAACGATAAGTCGATATTCGCATGTCTCTTGTCAACTCGAGCAGGTGGACAAGGTCTGAATTTAACCGGAGCAGATACGGTCATTATTCACGATATGGATTTTAATCCACAGATTGATCGTCAAGCTGAAGATCGTTGCCATCGTATTGGTCAAACAAAACCAGTCACTATCTTCAGGTTTGAGCTTTAAATCTTTGAATCAGTTTAGATAACTTTCTGAACAAAATTTGGTTTGGATTGGTTTATGTGTGTACTGGTCTATTTCCACATTTATCTGTGTATTAACTCTGGAAATGTTGGTACAGACTGGTGACGAAATCGACGGTTGATGAGAACATCTACGAGATAGCAAAGCGGAAACTTGTTCTTGATGCGGCGGTTCTAGAGTCTGGAGTTCACGTAGATGACAACGGAGACACACCTGAGAAAACCATGGGAGAGATTCTCGCTTCTCTTCTCATGGGATAACATTATTGTTACCTTTTTTTGTTTTGAGGTAAAATTAGTCAAGAAACGAAGTTAAATGTGTTATTCGAAACATGTGTAACACTAGCTATTAGACTTAAATTTAATAGTTATATTTTCTTCTACCGTTCTACGCATGTAAATTTAGGTATGACCAAAAGCTAACCGTAACCGTATTTCGGACCGTAACCGGACCGTTTTTCAACCGTAACAGGACCGTAACCGTATAAAACGGTTAAAAACGTAACTGTTTCAAAACAGATTAGTTACGGTTAAAAAATATACTAACCGTAACCGTCAATTAACCGTAAACGTGTCAAAACCGTTAGTTAACCATACGGTTAACCGCACTATTAACCGCATAATTAAAACTTTAAAAATATGATTGTAGCTGCGGATGATGCAAAAACAAATTTCGAATGTTCAGATAAAGATTTTCAAAAAAAGTAAATGATACCGCACATTAAAAAATCTACGTTAGGAAAAATGGTTTTTTCTCAAACAAATATGTTCTAATGCTATATTGCTAAAAATGAAGAAAATTTGGTTTATAACATATTTTTTTATTCTATTCAAAGTAGTATAAAAAGTTAGGCAACTCGTAAGATTTTACTTCCGATATTAACCGTATCGTAATCATCAAATAACCGTACCCGTATTTAACCGTAACCGTTGTAACCGTAACCGTATTTAACCGTAACCGTTTTAACCGTATATATAATGGTTAAGGTTACGGTTAAAGAAAATTTATAACCGTAACCGGCAGTTAATCGACCGTAACCGTAATAACCGTAACCGTGGTCATGCCTATGTAAATTATAACCCAAAATTTCCTTCTTCAGACCTAAAAAGTCCCAATTGTTCCAAACACTAAAATGAAGAAAATTTGGTTTATAACATATTTTTTTATTCTATTCAAAGTAGTATAAAAAGTTAGGCAACTCGTAAGATTTTACCTCCGATATTAACCGTATCGTAATCATCAAATAACCGTACCCGTATTTAACCGTAACCGTTGTAACCGTAACCGTATTTAACCGTAACCGTTTTAACCGTATATATAATGGTTAAGGTTACGGTTAAAGAAAATTTATAACCGTAACCGGCGGTTAATCGACCGTAACCGTAATAACCGTAACCGTGGTCATGCCTATGTAAATTATAACCCAAAATTTCCTTCTTCAGACCTAAAAAGTCCCAATTGTTCCAAACACTAAAATGTGAATCTGATTGTTGCATGGCGCAGTGATCAAATGAAGTGAACCATCAGGATAGGTTGGTTGGTCTTTGATCATTAAAGATTGTATAAAGGAGTGACCTTGCTTTAAGTGTTGGTGTCAAAATTGAACACCTCTCGCAATGATTAAAGCTCTCAAGTATCTTAATTCGTCAGAGTTGTATAAAACACAAATCTCACTAGATTGTTTTCCCATTGTCTTTGCTGAAACCTAACAAGGAACTAGTTCTATTGTGATTGGTCCATTTAAACTGAAAACTAAGGCCAACCGTAAACTTGTTGAATTATGTAAAGTGAGAAAATGAAAATCGTGTATAACTTATAAAGTCACATGATAAAGAGAAAGCAACCAGCTTTTTTGTCTGCCATAACAATTATTTAAAATATACATTCTTCTTCCTTTTTTATACTTAAAAAATGCGTTACTATTGTAGCCACAATTATAGTACTATTTAATTTAGAGTAACCAATCCCAAATATTACTTAGATAAGTAATAATTAGAAAAGTATTCGATACTAATTATCAATTGGGTTTTTAACTGTATGTTTTGCTATATAAATACCAAAGTTTTGTTTTTATATAACTCACTAACTTTTCATTTTGGTACGATAAAAAAAAAAACTCTATCCCGTGACTATTCCCACTTGTTGTTACTTTTTACATAGCCATTATCATTGTAGACTCCAAAAATCTGACAAACTCAATTATTTAGTTTTTAATTTATACGTTTATTTGTTTTTTTTCTAAAACAAAATTTGTTTTATTGATCAATTTGGTGAATGAATTGTCAGAAACGGTAGATGGACTCCACAACATCTGCGTGTCTCGTCACCTTACGTTATGGACCACAATTTACACCTATGAATGTGTCGGTAAAGCAAATAAATCGAAAAACTCACACCACTATTATTAAAATCAAAAGTGAATACTCCAAAAATGAAGTAAATGATATTTATCCAAAAATATCTAACAAATACGTAAAAATTGAATTATCTTGAACGTTTCTATACCTCTTTACTCTCTATATATAGTTCTATTTTCCTCACTAGCAACAACACACTTGAACACTTCTTTCGAAATCTCTCTCTATCTCTAAAAATGAAGCTCTCTATGCGTTTGATCTCAGCTGTTCTAATCATGTTCATGGTATTCGTCGCCACTGGTTCGTTTCTCATAACCTAATATCTAATTTGCACACATATGACATATACCCATGTCTTATTTATTCGTCATTTTGTTATAATAACATATAGTTCCATTTTTTTAAATAAAATTATATATTTAGGAGTTTCTATCGTTTAATCTTGTGAATGCTCATCTAATAAGTTTTTTTTTTTATTCAGTGCAAATTTAATTATAGTTCACTATAGCCACTTGGAAAGTTAATAAATATGCATCAAGCATGAGACACATGAAAGTATGAAACAAAGCTATGGTCTAAACCAAGTGTTCTTTTTGTGTTTTTGTTTTCTCTAGGGATGGGTCCAGTCACTGTGGAGGCACGTACGTGTGAGTCACAGAGCCATAGGTTCAAGGGTACATGCGTGAGAGAATCAAACTGCGCCAACGTGTGCCACAACGAAGGCTTTATCGGAGGTAACTGCCGTGGATTCCGTCGTCGTTGTTTCTGCACCAGGCATTGCTGATCTATCCATTCTCATAACTCAAGCTTTGATCCATCGTCGTGTGTCACTTCTTTCTTATCTAATCTTCCGTACAGTACTATGAAGTACCGTACATGAGTGTGTTCTTGGTGTTTTGTGTGTTTCCTATTTTAATGTAATGTTAAATCAACTAATGGCTTTTTGAGCCTTTGACTAATAATAATCAAAATCTATGTTCCGATAACAAAGCTCTTTCCGTTCGAAAATTATTTAACGCAATACTTCATGTCTCACCTTAAAGAGAATTATGATGGAATTAAAAAAAAATGAACATCAATCTAAGGAATGCATTTTTTTTTTTTACATTGAAGAGTTTGTTTGCGATGGCATGGACTTTTCTCGACGTGTGGGGCAGTATCAATAGTATTACCCAAGATTAAACACCTTCAAAGAGACTGAATAGTGAATATCCTCTAAATATCGGGTATAGAATACCAAATTTTACTTCTTGGATGTAATTGGTGGAGTAATAAAGTAGCAAGGAAAGAATATAAAAGTGTAAATCTTTTTATATAAATACACTATATAAAGTTAATATTTTTTTTATTTTTTGCTACAGTGAGTATATAAAATACCACATATTATAGTTTATACAACCAGTAATGTTTTCATGTAGATACGATAAAAGAACTCTAGTGTCCTTTACTACACCACTTGTTATTACTTTTGACGTGGTCACTATTATTGTGGACTCCCCAACTCCCAATATCTGACTAACTCAAATCTTTTAACCTTTTCTCTATACGTATTTTTTTTCTGTTTATTTTCTGAAATCAAAATTTGGTTTTATTAATTCTAGAATGAGTTGTCGAAACAGTAGGATTTCTCTGCCTGTCGTGTCAATTGCATTAAGGACCAAAAATAACGTTTATGACTAGCGTCGGCCGTCGGTAAAGAAAATAAATCGACAAACTAGTAAACAAAGAAAATGTGGAAAAAGCATTGAAAAAGAAGAAAATTCGACAAATGTCACGACTTTGGTTAAAGTTAAAAGTGAAACTCCAAAAATGAAGATGATATTTATCCAAAAAATATCTAAAAAATACTTTAAAATGCAATTATCTAATATACTAATCAAATATCTCGATACCTCTTTAGTCTCTTTATATAGTGCCATCTTCATCCTAAGTAACTTACACACATAAACACTTCACTTTCCAAATTTCGGTCTCCCTCAACTTTTCTCTCTTTCTTTTAAAATGAAGCTCTCTATGCGTTTGATCTCAGCCTTTCTTCTCTTGGTGATGATATTTGTTGCCACAGGTTCGTTTAATTACTGGTTACCTAATATCTAACTTTGCACACGACCTATATACACGACCCATCACCCATGCCTTCTTTTATTTGTCATTTGGTTAATACTAACATATATATTTATAGTTATGGTTTCTATCGATTGTTCTTGTTTTTCTATCGATTGTTCTTGTTAATATGCTCATATATTAAGTGGTTTTTATCGATTGTTCTTTCCATTTATACGGTTTTAATTATAGTTGGCCATATATATGGATGTCTTAACTAGCAATAATACTCAAATTATTTCATAAACTTTGAAAATTAACTACTCATTCCGTTTCGTTTTAGTTGTCGTTTAAGTTTTTTTCACACAAATTAAGAAAAGTATTAAATTTTTTGTTTTACACTTTATTAATATATTCTATAAATTTTTTCATTGGCCAAAACATTCAAACAGTAGGGATAATGATAAACAGTAGGGATAATAATAGAATTTTTACCAAACATTTGCATTGAAAACCTAAAATGACAATTATTACGAAACAAAATTTAAGTCTTAAAACGACAACTAAAACGAAACGGAGAGAGTAATAAGTATGCATCATGCAATCTCATGAGAACATGAGACAAAGCTATCTAGTCTTAAAACAAGTTTTTTTGTTTCTTCTCTAGGGATGGGTCCAGTCACTGTTGAGGCACGCACGTGTGCGTCACAGAGCCAAAGATTCAAGGGTAAATGCGTGAGCGACACAAACTGTGCAAACGTGTGTCACAACGAAGGCTTCCCCGGAGGTGATTGCCGTGGATTCCGTCGTCGTTGCTTCTGCACCAGAAATTGCTGATCCATCAATCGATTCTCATGACTCAATCTTCGATCCATTGTCTTTTGTTACTTCTTTCTGTCGTCTAATATTCCTTACGATACCATATCGTAACGTGCATGTGTGTAATGTGTTCTTGAATAAGTCTTTTTTTTTTTTTTTTTTTTTTTTTTTTTTTGAATAAGACTTTGGTTTGTGTGTTTCCAGTTTTAATGTAACGTTAAATCAACTAGTAATGTTTTTTTTTTGTAATAAAGGATTCGAATATATGTTCGGTGCATGCAAGATTTTGTTTGTTAAAATTCTTTACATGCAAGTTAAATACATTAAAAGTTAAATACATTGTTGCTAATATGCCAGAATTTTCATGCAATTAAGTTCACCATATAATTAAGTCTAAAATGTTTTTCTTGAAGAGAAATCAGCTGCGATTCACGCCAGAACCTACGGAATTTATGCAACCATAAAATCAACCACAGAATAAAGTCTTTATTAAGTCTAAAATATCGATGATCAAAAAGTCTAGGAGTTGAGCTAGGAACAGGGGAATTAAAAAAATTTGTTTTCGCGAGATGGCTAGCATAACTGGAGTGTGTATAATACCAAATTTTTAATTTTTTTTAATGCTATATGTACGTCAAATCGAGGGTTAGATGAATTGAATAGAGACTAAAATTACAATCGCGAGTTAGATAAATTGAGTACAGCTGTACAGACTAACTAAAATTACGTAATGATCCGGATTAAGCGACTACAATACAAATGTAGTGCTACAAGGAGTCCACAAAAGATCAATTTTTCCTTTACTAACACTAGGTTTTACTTTTTATTTTTTTAACATGGCCACTATCAGTGTGGACTCCTCATTATCTGACTAACTCAGTTTTCTACTTATTTTGTAAGTTTTTTTTATATAAATAAAATATTTTCTCCGTTTTTTTATTAAAAAATGTTTTAGAAGAGTACACATAAATTAAGAAATTATTTAATTTTTATTTATTTCTAAATTAAAACATCATTTATTATCTAATCAAGTAATAAGAAAAACAATCTACAAAATACAAATCGTCAAAACTAATAAAAAATAGTAATTAATTTTGCATTAAAAATCGAAAACATCATTTATTTAAAAACAAAATTAGAAGATTAAAATATCACTTATAAAAAAACGGATAGACTAGTACAATACTCCCTCCGTTTCGTTTTAGTTGTCGTTTAAGGTTTTTGCACACAAATTAAGAAAAGCATTAAATTTTCTGTTTTACTCTTTATTAATATATTTTATAAAAAATTTCATTGGCCAAAACATTAAAACTGTAAGGATAAAACTGGAATTTTCACTAAACATTTGCATTGAAAACCTAAAACGACAACTATTATGAAACAAATTTTAAATCCTAAAACAACAACTAAATTGAAACGGAGGGAGTATTAATTTGATTCTCTCTGCGTGTCTTGTCACTTCCAATTAAGACCAAAAATTTCATTTACTACAGTGTCGGTAAAGCAAATAAATCGACAAAATTGCAAAAAAACGAAAATGTGAAAACAAAAAAAAAACAGAAAATTAAGAAGAAGAGAAAAACGACAAGTCGTCGTCACACCTTAGTGGCAAAACTAAAGTGAGAATACAATGGAATAAAAAGATACGCGTATTCTTTTTTTTAAAGTTCAATTATCTCGAGCGTTCTTATACCTTTCTAGTCCCTTTATATAGTGCCACCTTCCTCATTACCAACCTATACACACTTACCACTTATTTCTAAATCTCTCTCTCTAGAAATGAAGCTCTCTATGCGTTTGGTCTCAGCTGTTCTCATCATGTTCATGATATTCGTCGCCACAGGTTCATTACTCATTAGTCATTACCTATATATCTAACTTTCAACATATTCATGTACTTATGTCTTTTCATATTCATTATTAATGAATTTTGCAAATATTTGGTTATCATAACATATTTTTATATCTATGGTTTCCTTTTTGTTTGATGAATTTCTAGTAAGTGTTCTTATGAATGCTCACGTACTAGATGGGTTTTAAAACAAATCTGTGATTTCAGAAATAGTGGCCGCAATCATCTCTTGGTTATTCTAAAAGTAAACTCACATATTAAATGAATACTAAGCATGAGAACATGAAACTAAGCTATGGTCCAAACTCTAACCAAAGTTTTTTTTCTGTGTGTGTTAATATTCTCTAGGGATGGGTCCAGTCACCGTGGAGGCACGCACGTGTGAGTCAAAGAGCCATAGGTTCAAGGGTCCATGCGTGAGCACACACAACTGTGCAAACGTGTGCCACAACGAAGGCTTTGGAGGAGGTAAATGCCGTGGATTCCGTCGTCGTTGCTACTGCACCAGACATTGCTGATCCATCCATTCTCATGACTCAATCTATGATCCATCGTCGTGTGTTACTTCTTTCTTATCTAAATCTTCCGTACAGTACCATGTAGTACCGTACATGAGTGTGTTCCTCAATAAGTCTTTGGTGTTTTGTGTGTTTCCGGTTTTAATGTAATGTTAAATCAATGAATGATTTTGTATTATACTATTGTATTATGGATCTCAATCTATCCTAGTCCTAAATTTCTAACAACCGGCGTCTGCAAAGTAAATATCATTAATGCGACGAATATAATTCAGAGAACCGATCGATTATAGAATTATCTAGTAATTAGTGTACAACATTGGTATTAGTACCTATAGATATTGGTTAAATATACCTCTTTAAATAACAACCAAGTGAAACTTATCTAATTTCGCAGTGGTGAAGTAACAACAAATGGAGCGTTAGCTACTACTACACGTGTATTTGGTGTTATACTACAACTCTACACATGTAATGCTTGTAGTAATGGTATTGTTAAAGAAACATAAATGTAGCTGTCAAAAAATATTAAAAAATAAAATAAAATTATACAAAAAGTGGCGTTAGTGACAAAAAAAAAAGGAAAAGAGAATCATTTTGAATTTTTTCTTTGAAAAGTTTAATCGTTCGTTACTTCGTTATAATAAAAGTTTTTGAGTCTTTGACACCTCGCTATAAGGGCTAAGCGTGTTTTATAAATTTATAATACATACGGATTAGCCAAACCGACCTGAATTTTGGATTAGCGAATTTTGAGTAGTTTGAGTAGTAATGACCGTTCGTTATAATCAATGCAGTCACAGGCCCAGACTCCCAGGGTAAATAAATTCTCTTATCGGTTCTGGTTGGTCAGATGGGTTCATTTAATTAGGTTCTTGGTTCACCAATGGTTTCCTAAAACCAAAAGGGGTGGTTTTGTAATAGAAAGCCATTTCTGGTTTAAAAATAGAAAACCACTTAACAAAAAAGAAAAAAAGACAAAAAAGCTGTACAACGAAAACTCCTTCGCTAATTACACGACAAACTATATATAAAAAACTTGGTGAACGTTTGTTTTTTCACTACGAAAACACTTGATGAAGAGCTTTTTTATTCATCAATTAGACTCTCATTAACTCTCATTAAAATAGCTTAATTATATTGCTGGTGACACTAGTTTTCACTTTTGAGAAATGTATCAATTTTACCGATGCATGAAAAAGTCAAAGTCTACATGCACAATGACTCTGTTTAATACTACTTTGAAATTAATACAGTCAAAGTAGTAATTCAGTCTACTATTTAGTTTTCCCACAGTTGATAATGTCGATGTGATATTTATTTTGATGTCGATTACCTAGAAGAGCCTTTCCATTTTCATATAGGTATCAAGCATTATGAATGTCTAAGTTCAAATCGATTGTTGATGAGTAAATAGACGCATGTTTATTAGTGTATATTCGTTCTCATTTTCTATGAAATTCTTGGAATATACTTCTCTCGAGATGCTAATTTTTTCTAAAGGTTTTTAAAACCTCCGGAAAGAAAGGAATGGCAAACTCCATATCAGCTCATCCATCCTCCCAGAAGCAGTTTTCAAACAAATTGACCATACCATCGGTAATATTTAGGGGTAATAATATCTCACGTTGAAAATAACAATTTTTTTTTACTAGTATATAATATATATGAACCAATCTACTCATTGTCAATTGATTTTGAGTTAGAAACTCATATTCTAATATAAGTATCAAAACTCGATCCACACGTTGTCCAATCTAATCTACTATTGGCCCGGTTCAATAGTTGGCCCGCGGATCATACCGAGATCAATGGTAGAGCCATCATCTCGAGAGGACGTGTTAGGAATAATAATATATCATATTGGAAAGAACAAGAGATCTTGACTAGTATATAAAATATATAGACCAATTCACTTATTGCCAATTAGTTTTGAGTTAGAAACCCATATTCTAACATTCAATACTTGCCTCTCTCGCAAGCAATGTCAAGGTCTGTTATTCAAGTTGTTCAATTCTTAAAGCTCATGTTCTTTGTATAGCTTTTTAGTGCTTTTTATTTTTTTGGGCCTTTGAAGCAAACATGTTCTAATGTTCTGTAATCTAACTCATGTTCCATTTTGATAATCTATTCATGTTTTATTTAAAAAAATATATTCGGTCATTTCTTTCGATTTCTGGTGAGTGATGTTGTCTCTTAACTTAAATTCGTTGAAGACGATTATACATTCTTCTATGTTATAATTTTTTTTTTCTTATTCTTAAGGATTACGTACTAGTGTAATTTGATTATTTAATTGACTGGTCAGCCTTTAATTACGACTGCATCCTTGGGTAAAGGTTTTAACTGGTTCACGTTTTGTTTCTATTTTTTGTAAGGCCATAAATTAATTATCTATATTAGTTTATAAAAACAAAAACTTTAATATACTAACAAAAGAATTCATCCCCTTTATATAGTGCCATCTTCTTCTTCTTCTTGATCTTCTTATTTCCCATTAATTAGCTTTCTCTAAACATTTGTATCTTAATCTCTTAAAAAATGAAGCTCTCTCTGCGTTTGATCTCAGCCCTTCTCCTCTCAGTCATGCTCCTCTTTGCCACAGGTTCATTACTAATTCTCATAATAATATCTAACATAAGCAATTCTTTGTGGCCTCAAATATATATTATGGTCTAATAATTATATACATATGCCATATATATATGACTATATGAGCATGAAAATGATCACATATAACCCATTCATGTTTTTATAATTCCAAATTTTGATTAAAGTAACATATATACATGTGCATGGTTTTTGTGATTAAGGAATGGGTCCTGTGGAAGCAAGAACGTGTGAGTCACCAAGTAACAAGTTCCAAGGAGTTTGTCTCAACTCACAGAGCTGTGCCAAAGCTTGCCCTAGCGAAGGTTTTTCAGGCGGTCGATGTAGTAGTCTCCGTTGCTACTGCTCCAAAGCCTGCTAATTTATCAACAAATCATTTATTCGAAATCAATAAACAATTGATATTATCCTATCTTTCATCGTTTTCTAATTAAATTTCGAGAGTAATATAATAATCTTGAAAGGGACTATTTGTTTTGTGTTCTTTGTATATATAATTTTGTTTTTTATGTAAGAATTTTAAGTGTTTATGTATTAAATTTGATAATTATTAACATATATATTATATATTCCATGTAAATATACTTTGCCTTAATAATATATCATACTTTATTGATATTTACATAATTACATACAATTTTACATAAAACTATGCTTAAAAGTAATGTGCTTTTTTTTTCAACGTACGTACGCTTGGAAATAATGTAAAATGTACTTTAAATATGACTAGCTCTTTGAATTTTGGAGTTTGAATTTTGATTTGGATATATATTTATGTATGTATTTAAAAACATTTAAATACATTGCTTAAATTTAATTATGTGGTTTATAAAATTCATGGAATAGTGGTTTGTAATGTGATTTAATCAACCATATATTTTATTGGAACATTTAGTTTAGCTATGTAAAAAGTAAACCTAAGTTTTCTCTCTAGATAGTTTTATACTTTTATTCATCAATTAAGCTCACATAAAAAAAGATTAAGTTCATTAATTAGGTGAATGTTGTTCAAAATTTCACTCATTTATCCATCCACGAAGAAGAATAGAGAATAGAGAAAAACAGAAATAAATTATATAGATAATAGGGGCTTTTGCAAAAATGCCACTTTTTCAAAGCCATTTTTCAAAAATATCCCTTTTTAAAAACCTTATAAAAAATGCTCTTAAAAATATAAGATTTACCCAAATATGTATGTAATATTATTAAAACATACACAAACTACATTTTTATGTATCTAAAATCTTATAAATACCTTATAAATGCATTTTAAATACCTTTAAAAACTTTTAAAATATCTTGTAAAACCTTTGAAAAACCTTAAAAATCCTTTAAAATAACTTGTAAACCCTTTAAAAACACCTTATAAAACCTTATAAATACTTGAATCGAGTCTTCAAGTAGTAGTTACAATTCATAAGTACTTTATAAACCTAATAAAACTTTATAAAAATTTCAGATTTAAAAAGGGGCATTTTTAAAAAATGGACATCTAAAAGGGGCATTTTTGAAAAGGGGCACACCAAAAGAGGTATTTTTAACAATTAATATGCCATTATATATGTGGTAAAAAGAATAAAAGAAATATTAGAATGTTTTCTATCTTCAATATTTTTTAACATAAAATAATTTGATATTTAGAGAGAGAAACAGAAATAAATTGTAGATATAATATGCCATATGTGGCAAAAAAAGAAGAAGAGGTATTAGAATATCTTATATCTTGAAATTATTTTACAATAAAGTAAAATGATATTTAATTTTGATTTTAAATGATAAAAACAAACATAGAAAATGTAGAATAATGTGTATCTCGCATATTGTTTAAATATAATAATATATTAAATGAAAAAAATATAAGGTGCATTCGAGGTGGAGAGAAAAAATACATGTCAAAAGAAGGGTTACTACGCTTAGAGAAATTCTTAAAATTAATGAGATAAGATTTATCATAAATTTCTATGATGTTAGTTTTTTTATTTAAATGAATAAAGCAAGAAAAAAAAAAGAGAAAAAAAAATCTAGTTTAATATGTAAAGGAAAAATGTAGAGGAACACTATTTGTAAAGCACAAAGTAAGAAATCTTTTTTTGACAGCCTAGTTTAACTAGAATAACATTATAAAATAATGTAATAATAATGTCATATAAAATATGTTTATCAAAATAAAGAGAAAAATAGAAGTAGATTATAGGACAATATGCCATAGGTAGTAAAAAATATAAAATAACTATTATAATGTTTTATAATTTAAAATTATTTGATTTTGGTTTTTTACTTTAAATGATGAAAATGAAAACAAAGATATAACATGTAGGAAAATGTGTTTTAGATATTTTCTTAATATAATTATATAACTATATCTAATGAAAATGGATAATGATGTATTTGGATTTGTCAAAAAAAGATACATAAAAAGCATGTGATTTGTCAACTTCTCAAAGATTGTGTTTAGGAGAAACATTGAAATATTAAGTCCATGTATATATATAGTGCCATTCACTTCTTCTTCTTCCTACACAACACTTAGTTATTTCTAACGATCTCTGTCTATACAAACATTCATAATCTCTCTCGAAAAATGAAGCTCTCTTTGCGTTTTCTCTCAGTCCTTCTCCTCATCTCTTTCATGGTTCTTGCTACCACTGCAGGTTCATTGCTCTAAATTTTCATATATATACATACAAATATGTGAATTCATCTACATTTTATACGTATAATCTATAACATATGTCTCGATATTCCTCATTTTGGTAATGTATTCTGATATAGAGGTGAGTCCGGTGGATAACAAAATATGTAAGACACGGAGTGATCGTTTCTCAGGGGTGTGCTTGAGCACTAACAATTGTGCTATCATCTGCCAACAATTCGAGCACTTTGATGGCGGTCACTGCGAATTCGACGGAGCCCTCCGTCGTTGTATGTGCACCAAACAATGTAATAATTAGGATCATCATGATGATTCTCTTCAATATTCTCTATTTCATCATTGTTTCTAGATAAATAATAAGGGACACACTTTGTTAATTTGTGTTCTCTCTCTATACTATTTCCCGATTTAACAAATTTACTGGATTTTCTATAATAATTCAAGTCTGTGTTTGATTTAATTATAGTCAGATTCTATTCATCAAAATCTATCCAATTATACATTTTTACAAAGCCAAAACCCAAAACCATTCAAACGTTAACACATCTGCTTTAATCAAAATTAGGAACACACACAATTAGGTTAACTACTTCCGGGCCAAGTAAATATACTAGCTCAGACTTCACCAACCTGAAACACTAAACTTCTCGTAAATTTCTGCCTTCAACGAAATTCTAACCTGAGACTAGAGCAAAGATTTGTGTCTCTTCACTATATCCCGAGTCTCTTGGAGCCACACTCTGAGCAGAATTTGGATGTCTCTCTCAAGTACTGTGCTCCACATTGGTCACAAAATTTCGCCGGACTATTTGGCTGTGGAAAGACAGATAAACGTATGAGGACCTTAACTGAGATCGAAATGATTCAGTTGGGATAGATATTATGGAAAATTTGTACCATTACATGGCCTCCAGTGAGGGGTTGCAAGCAAGCCATGTGCTGTGAAATAGATGGTGACTGGTGGGTGTGAGATAGTTCAGGGTCACATTGATGGTTCTGACCGGGAAAATGTGTGGCTGCGTGTTGATTTTGGTAAATAGATTGATGGTGGTGGTGGCTTTGGTGAATAGATTGGTGAAATTGATGAGACAAAGATGACATGTGATGTTTGGAAGGAGAAGGAGTGTGTTGTTGTTGACTTTGATCCTGCAATTATGATAAAGATCATTTCCATTAGAATCTGCCATTTTATGTACTATGTAGATTCAAATAGAGTATGCGCTTACTTCATTAACGGAGCGAAATCCTTGTGTACTAGCTAACGTTGAAGAGTCTATACCTGGGAATGTCTGCAAACCAAAAACAAAAACACTGTCACCTGTTCTCTAAAGTCAGATAAAAGCTATAAACAGAGTGTTTATTGGTCTTACAGGCAAGCCACTGATGCTGGAGACAGAATTTTGAAGACGCCTATGCTTGCGTCGAGGGCAATAGAACTTATAATCCCTTGCAGAGATAGCCACGTCATTACGGCCTGTTAATCGCTTAAACCTGTAGTGACAATATCCAATTATACACTGATGTAAATAACTCAATACACAATTCACAATAGTAAGAATCTGATGATGTATTTTCACCATTCAGCATCTTCAATAGGCAAATCATCTGGCTTTTCAACAATATCCAAACCATTGACCACCACAAAGCGAACTCGTTTCTCTTCATGTATTACCAATTCTGGAAATCTTGTCCTTGTTTCAACTGAAGTTGCCAGTTCTCTTCTCCTGTACATGCAAGTACCTGTAATATAAAAAACAGACAATCACACATATCAAACTAATGCTCACACATAATCAAAATTCTATTACTTTTGCAAAACATCACATCAGAGCAGATAGAAATACCTTTCTTAGGAAATTTCTTAGTTAATTTCCTATACAAGCCACCAGCTGCTTCAAGAGCTACTCCAATAGTCTTATCTCTTATTCCATTCAATGAAGCAAGCCTCACATTTGCTTCACCAACTAAAGTCTCATACAAATTTGCAATATACATCAACGGTAACGCAAAACTCGGATCACCTTCATATCGTGTATCATCAGACTTCCTCTTCACTTTATTACTATTATCCCGTCCTCCTGAATCCGTTTCATGATCACGCTTGTTCTCAGCGACTTCAATCACATGTTGGCTAATAAAGTAGTCCAAGATTATTTGCAGAAACCTCCCTCTTGCTGCTTCAATCGGTGAAACATCTAAAAACAATATGAAAATTGTTTACGAATCAAGAAACTCCGCGCAATCACAATATCGAGTATCGATCCTTATTACCTTCAATGTTTAACATAATGTAAGCAGATCCTACTGGTCCTTTGTTCTCCATGTTAGATCCACCTTCTTCTACTCCTTCATTGTGGATTTGCATAGAGTTTCTGTACGATTCATGCATACAGTCCTGAAAAGAGTCATTGATAAGTCTCAATACAATCGAAACCCCCGAAATTTCGACTCGTTTCGCTAATAATTTGAGCTAAGTTACTCATAAACCCTAGAAATTGAGACCAAATTGAGAAATTTTTACACACCGCAGAAGAGGAATCGCCGTCATTATCCAAACTATCGCCGCCACCGGAGCCTCTGATACCGTCGATATCTCTCGGCGGACCATCAACGGAGTTGAGATCATGGAGAGAAGTACCGATGTAGGAATCAGCTGATCCCAAATTGTAATGCTGCACTCGAACCCTAGCTCCCATTTCTTCCAAAACCCAAACACAACACAAATTCCAAAATCAGAATCGATTTAGTAACAATTCAACCATTTTCGATCACAGATTCAAGTCGAGAAGATGCAGAATCATCTAGAGATTGCATCTTTAGAGCTTTGAGTTTACTCGAGCGATTGTTGCTCCGATACTGGAGATTTAACGGCTATACAAACCCTGACGAAGAGAGAGAGAGAGAGAGAGAGAGAGAGAGAGAGAATCCGAACCTGAATCCGTACCTGAGATTATCGTACGGTGACAGGAGATCTCCGAACCTGGCTCCGAACTCCACACCTGTTACCGAGCCACTCAGTCTTGTGAAACTCTCACAACTAATTTATCCCGAAACTAATAAGCAACTCTTTTAAATATGGGCTAATATTAAACATTTTTTAATTAGCAGATAAACTAATCCAAAAGCTTACATTTTTTTTTTTTTGTTTTATTTGTAATTTATATACATGAACTTCAAGCTCCTCTGCATTGTGAAAAAAATATTTTTGTTCAAAACTAATTATTCAATCATCAGTAGTAGAAAATTACATTTTGGGAGAAAAATATGTACAACACATCAAAAATTAGGGACTTTGATTGGTTCCTCAATGCAACAATACAAAACAACAATGAAGAACCCTTAAAACCCATGTGTAAGCAAATTAACTTCATAATCTTCACTCCTTTCTCATCTTTTCCAACCCATCAGAGCTCAAAGTCTGCAACAAAAGACTACATTTTTATTGCAGACCAAACTCAGATTATGATATCAAATCACCCAATATTGGATTTGTTTCATACCTCAGCTCTTGTTGATGAACAATGTATTCATCGATAAGCTTCTCCTCGGATTAGTCCCGAACCAAACAGGGAAACTGCAGCTGCAATAATAAGCTTACAGATTCTCAGGAGAACACTTACGCGGAAGATTCCAGATTTTGGTTTCTTGTTCTTCATGTACTCCAGAAGAAACAAGGGTTTGGATCCAAATATCTGAATCCGTTGATAAGCGCAAAAAGATTGCATCTTTCGAGTTTCACATGTTTGGGAGTGCATTATCGTTGTCACTGGTCAAAAGTTGATGCTTCATCAGATAACTCTGCAACTCTACAGCTTCGTTTATACATCCAAGCTCATAGTGTTTCTTCAAGACACTAATACACAAAACCTCGTCAGGGTGTATTCCTTCTCCGATCATTTCCTCCAGGAAGGATCTCGCTTTCTGCAACTGATTGCAGTGCGATAATCCCCAGACTAATGAAGTGTAAGCAAGCAAATCAAGCTTCATACCAGTCTCAACCATTTTGTCTCGTAAAGCCAAAGCCTCTAGCACATTCCCTTGCTTAAAGTTCCCATCCATTAACGATGTGTATGCCGTTCTGTCTGGAACTAGACCCTTTTGAGCCATTTGTTCAAAGAGAGTTGTTGCAGCCTCAACTTGATTACCTTTACAGAGACCATCAATCATTGCTGTGTATATGGCTGCATTAGCTTGTAGACCAAAATCATTACTTATCCTCCCGAAATAATCAATTGCCTTAGAAACTAACTTATTTTTGCACAATCCATCAATCAAAACGCAAAAGGTAACCACTGTGACCTTGATATCAAGTTCTACCATCTCGTCCAGTAGATGCAATCCCTCAGTGGGGTTTTCCCACTTAAAGTAAGCATCCATTA